ACCCTCAAATAAGTGTAGAGCCCTCAGCATTATATTTCACTAATCTAAACCGTCTATTTTGTCGATATTCATTCAAATATCATCTTTACAAAAAATCACTTGAATTTGATATCATTTGGCCACTTAATTAAATTATTGAAATTCAAGTACTTTCTTAAAGCATTGTGTTCATTGATTTTGTTGGTTTCATTAGATGAAATGAATGAATAGAAACAGTCTTTGAGAGCAAAACCTAACATGTTTGACCTGTTTCTTGAGAAAACTGTGAGTTTTACTATAATAAGAACACACTGATGATTATGGGTATAATTACTGATTATGACTGTTAAGATTGGCTGAATATGGCCACTGAAGATCACACTTGAAAGATATTTAAAGAGTCAAATATTTGATCCCCCATTACACAGACAATGAATTAAGGAACACCACTTGTGCTAATAGTGGTCATCTAATCAAAAAGAGAAGCTAAATGATGAAAACAAAGAATCAATCGATAGTTATTTCTCAAGTTTGGGTTTTTACATGTTGTTACCTTCTTTAAGAATGTCATTCAGTCATTGACTTCGTGATTTGAAACATCAAACCAAAAACAAAACGAAGGAAAGAAAGTAAAATTTCCACTTCCACTAACAACCATTTCCTTGTTTGTTTTGTCCAAACTCTTCAAACCACTTTACACACTTGTATATATGCATTTCAGATATTTTGTTATGCTCCAACATAATTAGCTAAGCCGTACATATTTGATCCGCCCTGCCTTCCCACTTAACAAATAATCCATGAAACAATGGGAGAAAAGGTAGAGACTTCATGCAAGTCAACTAGACAAGCAAGTTTAATACTACTATTTTTGTTACTTGAAGATGTGATTCGATCTCAGTGCTTCCAACACACACTCCATTCACTTTTCCAGGAGAAAAACATAAAACAAAAAACCCTTGTTTAAGATAAATTTGCATGTTACGCCAATTTGGAGATCTAGAATTACACATAAATTTTCTTATATATATACACTTCTTCTCTCATCTCATCTCATTCACATTGGAGTAGTTCACGTATTTCAAAAGAAACGCGGTGTGTTTAATCTACACTTGCACTCTCTGTTTTGCAAACACCGATTCCATTTTTATTGCCACAGTGGTGTCTTTCTTATGTAGATGTGCTTCTCAAATTTACCGATCCGACATTGACTTTATAAGGAGTAATCAATTGGCATATAAACAATTACACTAATGTATCGTGACGCATTAGTAAAACTTAATACTCGTTTTGTACCGTACCTGGCTAAATCGGGCCCAATACCGGCATGCGTGGTGTTGGTGGACCTGTGAAGGTGCGTTTGGGACTCAAACCCACCAGCTTGGTGTACGAAGAATGTAGCTGTAGGCAATAGACGAGTACATGCATGCATGTTGTGTGGCTGCTGCTACCCTATTAGATTCACAGCCAGATTTCGGCTGTTTCCGAAATTCTGATGAAATAAAATTTGTTATTTACGGAAAGAATAGCAAGGGCAATATCTCAATCTCTAGTGTTCTGTTTAAGCAGTGTTTGTACAAGTGATTAGGTAGGTTTGTCTGTGTACCCAAATTTACATTATTTATATATTGTTGCGTAGAGAAAAGGCCGAAGGAGAAGAGAGCTTGATGAGGTGGATGTTTTATGACATAGATGCATTCAACACTCAAGTGATATGACTTTGCATTTACAACTTACAACAAAGGGGCCATGGAAAACTGATAATTGTGCCAATTGCCGACAATATATAAGCAATCACTGGACCCTCTAAACCACGTAAACTTTTTTAAGTGCACGCACATTTTTGAATTAGCGCATAACACATGTAATAGGACTATTTAAAATCCAATAAAATATGCTTCGATTCAATTCAATTCAATTCAATTCAATCCAACTTTAATCGATTTGAATGATTTGAGTATATTTAGCTTTACATAGGACCAAAATGGCTATACAACAAGCTACCAATAGTGGTCACTGGTTATACATGCAAATGATGTGAAAACTTAGCTACCTGCATAGTGTTGTTATACAACACGCTTTTCTTGTTATCAACTCTTTTCTGTCACACTCAATCAAGGAACAGAACACATAAATTATGTGAAAAAGCATCAATTTTATATTGCATTTCCACAACTTTGGTCAATTACTGGCTCATTGTTTCTTGGAGTGTCCATTTGATTATATTATAATATCTGATTATGTTATAATGTTATTAAGAGTTGCCGACGCACAAGTGACTGTCATCTATTGATTGATTATCAATGGAAAAAGTGACTGTCATCTATTGATTCATCATCAATAGTAGTGCGTGAACAACTATCAATAGCATTTCACAATTAGATTTGCTTAGATATATAGTCCTGAACTGTGTTGGAACAGTAATACTTGTATGCATATAGTCTGCAGTTGCTAGCTTTTTGGTGTCTGTGGAATTGGAAACCACAAGTAGCCAGTCGACTCATGAAGAGAATATCACTTAGAAAGACAAAGACGCATGTTTGTGGCTATACTATCTTTTGTCACATTTTACAAAGGTGAAAATAGGATAATAAAGATTGCATAGAAACGAAAAAGATTTGATTTCTATTGCCACATAACTATTTGTCCCTTCTTTTGTATGATTCGTTGGAGCTTCTGCTTCTGCTTCTGCTTCTCCTTCTTGTTGCAAGTGTGACAAATGCAGTTCACCACTTTTCTTTTCTAACAAAATATAAATATATACACACAAATACACCCAACACCAAAAATATATATATAATATAAAATTTTGGGTTTGTTTTTTCCCCTAAGCATAGACAGCAGAAAGAAATCACGATACTTGTGACTGAGACCAGTTCAAGTTTGACATTTTTGCTGCAAAATGATGTCCTTTGGAGGCTATTTTGTCAATGCACTCTGGAATATTAATTCTTGACCTATAATATCAATTGGTATTTTGTCAATGCACCCCCCCAATTTTTCTTAGAAACCAGAATCTTAAAAGGTCCACCAGGAGATGTCTGATGAGATGGCATATATGGGGCGAAAAAAAAAAACCAATCTTTTAGTGGAAAATGAAAGAAGGCTATATAGCTCAAGTCTGTTGCCGACGATATATATCATACGGCACTCACAGTCACTTTTCTACATAAAGTTGTTGAAGGCAATCAAGTTTCTGAGGGACTGGTGGTTTTTGGTGCAAAACTAATAGGCTGCTGCTCATATTCATATATATGCACACGCACGACAGTGTGTCACCACCCCACCACCCCACCACCCCACCACCACACCACCACACCACCAGTATCATGCTGTCTAGTTGCCTTTAATCACTTGACCTTGATTGCCACGTCCTTTACTGTACCCACCTAATGGAAGATTTAAATAAACACATTATTAGAATCGTGGCAAGCTATTAATTAATCAAGAGGTAAACCCCCTTAACTTCTTAATTAATGAATTTGTTTTCAACTTTTTATTAAACAATCAAAGTATTGTCTCCCCCACAACCACAACCACTCACTCACAAACGGGTCAAGTTCTACTTTTTCCCACATTCAAGAGGAGAAGAGGAGAAGTGGAGAGAATTCATCTACCAATTGAGATTTTAAAACTATATGGTGTATATGTTTACCAAGAAAATTTGCAGGGTGTAAATTTAAATTTTTTATTAAGCTTGTTGATCCTGCATTATTGTAGAGCAAATTCTCATGAATCAATACAATTTGTCTCTTTGTGATGCTTTGCTTGTTCATCAGTAATTAAGTCTAAAGTATGTACTGTTCAACTTGTTCTTGTCCATTAAAATCTATTCCAAGGACACCATATATATTCTCAACTGTAAAATCTTGTCTTGGTACGCGATGGTCATAGCATTTATTTTCCCACTTCATGTTCATTATAAAAAATATTCCTCTCCTTGCATGCCCTTCAAAAATCATCTTCAAAACCATCTTACTGAGCTGACAGCATGCGGTGATATATCTGTCACCATGTTAGACCCTACAGACAGAGTACTACAGATGGTGACTGTTAATTAAGGCCACCATTTGGTCAGCTATTTCCATGACATGCAAACCTGAATTAGTCTCTCCATGTTGTACATCAGGCAAATCCTTGTGACATGCAATGCAAGCCCCTAAAATCCATTTTTCAACGCTTGCCAGTTGCCAGATTGTAGTGACATGCAAGACCCTTTGCCATTCCCATGTGACAAGTAAGCCCTGGGGGCCTTAATTAGTCTCTGTGTGTTGTTCATCTGGCAAATTCTAGTGACATGCAAGCGACCTGCATGTTGTTCCATCTGTCTGGCAAGTTCTAGCGGCATGCAAACCACTATGGCTTTGCCAGGTTGCGATGGCAAGCAACCACACACCCCCACCACCCCCCCCTTCCATGGCCCCTAATTCCTTACCCTCTGTGTCAGTCATTTCTTCCTCTGCATTTGTTTGTCATTTCCTAAATCCTAACGTTGGATTTGCAGCCATGGCCATTATTATAGCCCCTGCCGATTGCAAAACCTCTGCATGACCTGAGTAACCATTTTGTGTCAGAATAAGTTTACTATTAATCAAAATTTGAAGTGACCAAGAGGAATTGGTTACTGAATTTTGATAGCTCTCTCATAGGCACTGAAAATGGTTGGTCCAATTATATAATACTACATCGAAACATAATTTACTATATATAGTATACACTCACAAATCATTTAGAAATTTATTCTTTCTGATTGAAAATAGTACACACAGTATTATTTGTTGGTCTAGTAATGGCACTAAAACCTTTGTACGATTTAGTGGGTGACATTAGCATTTTGCCTCCACAGAAGGAAATGCCAAAACACCATTGGGAAACGCTTTCTGGAAACAACAATAAAGACAATAAACTTCCTTGAAGAGGGTTCCAATTCCCAATTTTGCCAATTGTCAGGCCCCTCGCCCTGCAAATTTTCTCTCTTTTTAAAGTCCTTTCCTGCAAACAACATAATGTGAAGGAAGAGAGGGCTAGCTATAAGATTCCAATTTTTGTTCACTCATCCACCCAATAACCGGCCTTGGCTTTTCTCTCATCATACTTCTCAAACTTATTTCACTCCCTCCTTCTCTCTGTATATCAGTCAGCCTCAGAACCAATTCATCCCATTCTCTCTATCTGTTAAGTTAATGCAATGGCAATTGAGTGCATGATCACAACAACAAGAAGCACGCAATCCATGGCTCAACCCCCTTCCCTAAAAACAGAGCACAAACAAGATGACCAAAAACCATTAGTTTTTGATGCCTCAGTGCTCAGGTACCAGACAGAAATACCAGAACAGTTCATATGGCCTGATGAGGAAAAGCCCTGCGCAAACACCCCTGAGCTCCAAGTCCCTCTTATAGACTTGGGTGGTTTTCTCTCTGGCAACAAACAAGCTGCAATGAAAGCCTCCACAATTGTAGGCGAGGCCTGCCAAAAGCATGGCTTTTTCCTTGTTGTGAATCATGGTGTTGACAATCAACTCATAGCCGATGCTCATCGCTACATGGATGATTTTTTCGGGTTGCCTCTGTCTGAAAAACAGAGAGCGCAGAGGCTAGCAGGGGAGCACTGTGGCTATGCCAGCAGCTTCACTGGTAGATTCTCGTCAAAACTTCCATGGAAGGAGACTCTTTCTTTTCGCTACTCTGCAGATAAAAGCTCATCCAGTATCGTCCAAGATTATCTCTGCAGTAAAATGGGAGAAGAATTCAAGGAATTCGGGTAGGCACAATGTTACTTTAATTTCCCATTAATTGATTGATTTCCTTAATTGGTTCTTACCATAATATGACGTTCTTCTGGTTTTGTTTAGGAGGGTGTACCAAGATTACAGTGAGGCTATGAGCACTCTTTCTGTTGGGATCATGGAGCTTCTGGGCTTGAGCCTTGGGGTTGGCAGAGCCCATTTCAAGGAATTTTTCGAAGACAATGATTCGATAATGAGGTTGAATTACTACCCACCATGCCAGAAACCTGATCAAACTTTAGGCACCGGTCCTCATTGCGATCCAACATCTTTAACTATTCTCCACCAAGATCAAGTTGGAGGGCTTGAGGTGTTTGTGGATGATAAATGGCATTCCATTAGCCCAAATTTAAATGCCTTTGTTGTTAACATTGGTGACACTTTCATGGTGAGCAGCAGCAGCATTTGAAATCGTTCTTCTTTTTTCGGCGACTTTATTAAAAAAATTGTTGCTGATTAATTTTGTTGCTGCTTAATTTATAGGCTCTTTCAAACGGGAGTTACAAGAGCTGCTTGCACAGGGCAGTGGTGAACAGCCAAACACCAAGGAAGTCTCTTGCATTCTTCTTGTGTCCCAGAGATGATAAGGTGGTGAAGCCACCAAATGGGCTGGTTGATGATACTTCGTGTCCAAGAATATATCCAGATTTCACATGGCCTATGCTGCTGGAGTTCACACAGAAGCATTACAGAGCAGACATGAAGACTCTCCAAGTCTTCTCAAACTGGCTTCAACAGAAAAGCAGCTGAATTTTTACCAAAAGGGTATGGGGTATGGGGTCTTCTTCCTGCCAAAACTATGAGAAAATGACATCATTGAAGGAGATGAACAGAGGCGGTAGGCCTGAGAGTTTTGCTAAGAGTTGAAAACTTGAAACGAGTTAGGACAAAGGCAAAGTTAGAGGAAAAGCCAGTTTTTTTTTCTTTTTTTTTTTTCTACTGTTTCCGTTGGGTCTTGTAATTAGCTAGCTAGTTTTTCTTAGTGACCAACAAAAAGCCAGACAAAAAAATTGACATAAGGAACCAATAAACTAAGAGCTGGTTTCACTCCAGTTTTTTTGTACTCTTTTACTTCTATAATGTAGAAGAAAGGTTATAATTTATATATAAATATATATATATGTAGCTTTACCTTTCACTCTCTCTCTCTCTCTCTCTCTCTACTCTAGCTTACTAGCTTTAATAGCTACTAGCTACAACTACATGTACATGGTGCCATAATTAATTAAGCAGCTTAATTTATTAAGTTAATCATAATCAGTTATCAACCGTGAATTAACAGTTTAACTAAACTGTAGCTCAAGTGGTTAAGAGCTTATGAGTTTGCAAACGATTGATTTGATCATGACCGTCCATCACTAAATCCAACGGCCAGTGGGTCGCACTATAACCAATAAGCAATACATGGGTTGGGTTAAAAGGTAGAGAAAAATCCAATGGAAGAGATGGCCCACCCTAATGGATGATTCAGAGTAATAGGATGCTAGAATCCATGGAGGATTGACAGAGCTTTCTTTCAAGTGTATTCATCTGCGAGAAAAACTTTAATTATATGCATGTTTTCTTGGATTTATTCGTTATTTTTTTTAATACCTGGAGATTTGGAGGCTTGTGCGGCAATATATATGTATATATAAAAGAAAGCAAAGGAATACTAGCTAAAATTGTCTTGGTGTTTGTCTTTAAATGCTGCAACATTCTTCCGATGATATTATAAACATATTACAACATTAATTTTGAACATGAGAGATAGGGGTGGCATACGTCTGTCCCCACATGACATGAAGCTCGCGTTCATCACATAATTATTGTTTAAGACAAGTTTTGTTACTAACAAGGTTGAAAAATACCATGCCTAGTCAAAGTAACAAAGGTTTTAACTTGTAACTTCGACTAATCGCCTTATCGTATAACCGCAGCGACTCCTAAATTGAAGGTATGCAGCGACTCCTAAATTGAAGGTATGCATTGTAGCTTGACTATAAGATATTTTGAGATTCAAAAGTAAATAATGAATCTCATATCGTATTATCTTAATTAATCTATTATCACCCCAGCCATAAAAGTGTGGTTATTTGTTAGATATCTTCTTCATATTCTTCGTATCATTGTGCAATGTTATATGATAGCCAAAACTGTTCAATTTTTCTTAACCCAAGAAGTGAAAAAACTGTTTCTTTTTTCATGCCATATTTTTAAGGACCATTCATGATTCATCCAAGTGTGAGAATTCAGGGTTGAATCAAAACACTGCCCTATTTATTTGAATGATTTCCAATTTAGTCAGTTTGATAATAAAAGATAACCTTTAACCTAGAAGAGAGACAGTGTCGCTCATCAATCCAATGGCCAATGCCAATATTAATTATAGTACGTGACAAGGAACAAGTAGCTAAGGTTATATGAGAAGGAATTGATGCGATTTTCTTTAGGAAACAAAAATGAAGATGAAAATGAAAATGAAAATGAAATGAAAGGGAGAAAAGGCAAGAGGAACAGCCGCCACAGGTAAGGACAATGACAGTCCCATTCCCGTACTCGCTTCCAAAAGGCCCGCATCACGTGGAAACCATCTGTAGTTTGTTCTGGCACCACACTACACTTTTCTCTCTCTCTCTCTCTCTCTCTCTCTCTCTTCCATTTTCTTTCTAAATTTCTAATCCAACTCTCCAACACAAACATTTTGTGCACAACACACAACTATTCTCTGATCCATTAAACGACAACTCTTCGGATCTCTCTCATGGATACCCACCTGCCCTTGGGCCCCTTTCTCCCCTATCTATCTGTACCTTTCTTTGTCTTGTTCCTCTTTCTCACTTAACCCCCTAATCTAATCCCCTTCTTAATTGCTCCTTAAACACACTCTGTCTTCAACTAATTACTCGAATAAATTATGGACTCAAACGACGTGTCGCAGAAGGAAGCCAATACGTTTCATGCAAACCCCTGCTGCCCTGCATGAGAGAAGAAGGTCTCCTCGACACTTGAGTCACTTGGAGATATAATGAGGATCACTCACTCACTCACTCAGTCGAATCATGGTCGTATGCATTTGGCATTACAATTATATGAGAGTGCATTAATTATAATTAGGGAACGTGAACCATGTTTTCTCTTTTCTCTTTTTTGAAATTGGCGGAAAGGGAAACATTCTTGTTTTTACTGCAAATTTCAACAAGTAAATCAGAAAAAGAGAAATTTGTGGTGGCACATATAATTAAAAAAAAACAGTCCCATGACCGAAAAGGAAGAGAAACAACAGAAGAAAACAAAGCTTACTTTTTATATATAAATCAAATCGAAATGGCTCGTGGAGGTTTAATCATCATATATGTTTAGCTCCTCCATCTCTATCTAACAGAGCTTTAGGTCTGCCCGGCTCATTTTTTTATAAATCTGTCTTGTGTCATTTTCTTCATGTACGACAAGGAACATCCTTTAATCATTTTAACTCCAAGTAAAAATAACAATCCTTTAATCATTTTTCTATATATATATATATATATAGAGGAATAGGAAACTCAGTTGATTAATATTGATCACAATCAGAAGATGATAATATTGAATATCAGATTGCCAGACGAGGTCGCTCCTAATCTTCATCTTGTTCAACTTTTCTTTTCAGTTTTGAGACGCTGGCTAGTAGCTAGAGCCACATATGATATGAAATTCTGAATGACGACAAAGACCATGATATTTCAGATCGAGTTAGGATACTAAGTCGTTTCTTTGCAATAATAATTAATCAACTGATATTTTCCATGAGGATATTCACAATTACGTGCCAGGATGTCCAACAAAGAGAACGCTTTAATCAATCACACAAAATCCTATTTCTTCCACGTCTTTGTCTTTTCCTCCAGCAATATATACTGCGATTGTGTGATGTATACAAATTACAATGAAAAGAGCTAGCATGCATGCAGTGATCGATATCTGATATCTGATATCTGATATATCTGATATATCTGATATATCTGATGTCTGATATCTGATATATCTGATATATCTGATATCGATTGGGATATATACATATATATATATATATGGGAAGACGACGAAGCCCAAGCCCTCATACATACGCAACGCACCCCTCAGATTTCTTATCTTCTTTTTGCTACATGTACACGCTGAAAGTGATTACATTAACATATACGGCACTTACACATGCAGGTGTATTTTTCTTTTTCCTCTTTTATTAAACTAAACTAATTATGACGTCCTAGCTTACACAACAATTACATAAGTTTCTAACAAAATGCATGTGATCAATAATCCAAAATTATTAATAATAGTAGCTAGTTGTTTTTGGTGTGTAAATGATAGGAGGAGATTTCGCCACGTACCTATATCACAAATTGAAAATTAGGGTTTGGTGATTTCGTTACGTGATCCAGTTTTGTTTGTATTTGTTGTCACATGATAGGATTTGAGTGCATAAAAACGACTCAAGTCCATATCCACAGGTCGATACATGTAGAGATACCGTCATATAATTAAGAAAACGAAGCTTTCAACCCCTTACTAACTTATCATATGTGGTTGGAACTTGGAGGAGGAGTCGGAGTCGGAGTCGACTCACATCATTATTTTGTTTTCAACAACTTTTGTACTTTTACGATTAGTAATAGTGCCACAATGCTACGTACCTTGTCATGTTACAATGACATCTGGATTATATTATTTGCATCGACTTGTCATCATTTGAATAGGTTTTGTCTGCATCTTTAGGGTCTCTATAAACTCTAGACTCTTAATCTCACATATCCCATTCCTTTTCTTTTTTGTTTTTCAAGCGTTTTCCTCTTTGTTTATTATTAACAACATAATTAAGACCCCTTAATTCAATTCAAATAGTTCATTAAGTTCAGTTTAATTTTGGGCTTCCTTTCATTAATTTCCTATATTATTAGCCATTTTTCTTTATCTTTCAGATGAAGCGTAGGCATGGTCCACCATTTGTTATATGTATGGCCAGTGGCGGCGTGGGCAAACGGCGGCCTTGCCCCCCTTTCTCCCAGCCAAAATTTCAAAACCCCTCTCCATTTGCTCGCCATCTTATACCTCTGGTCCCTCTCCCACAATACTCCCACAATACCAACTAAAGTACAAGTCAAACAATTTCTTCTCAATTTTATTCATAACTTAATTATTCCATTTAGTACGTACAATGTTTCTTATTATATATTTTAGTTAACAAATTTCTATTTTAGAGTGCGTTATATATGTTTCTTCTTATAATAGTGAGATTTGAACCTAGAACGAGTACAACTGCTTGACCAAACGACATAACCCACATTCGTTAGAATATATATTGCTAATTATTAAAGAATCTATACTTATTCGTTTTGGATTATGCGTTGAATAACTGGCGAGTCCAGCCTTGAGGGCCGATACTAAAAGCATTGGTGTTATGGGGTTATGGCCAACAGCAAAAAAACTGTTGGGTTTTATGATATGTGACCAGTAGAAATCTCTAGAGCATGATTCTGGTGCCCCACTCGCATCGTACGTGATAATATTAGGTTTTGTTCTCTCTTCGAATATGGTTGACCAATCACCACCATGAATTAGATTTTTGGGTATATTTGGCTACTTAACAACCAAGCGTTTAAAGCCCAAAAGATGTAGCCTCTGTTGGGTTCAGTCTGTGTGGTTTCGAGCTACTTTGGGAATTGGGAGTGAGTGGTAAACCCTTTTTGGAATTTTTGGAAATTACACACAAATATTCATTTGAAAAAGAACACAAACCTTTTCATTTATCTTTTGTTGTATTACTTTTTATATGATTTTCCCGTCCACTGAATATCCGAGCTTCACATACAAATGGACAAAGGAGCCATCTTAATTGTTCGCTGGTACAAATTGTGACTCGAACAAGCTGAAATTTCTAGTGCTATTTTTGACCTTTTCAAGGATTCTTATTCTTAAGGCTGGGCCAACCCAACCAAGATTCTCATGGAAGGCCGATCACATATCCAAAAGTTTTCTAAAGTACGGATTGCTTCAGTAGCCCAACGTTCTCACGAAATACTTATGGTTCAAATTTATTGAACCTTTAGCTTCGCAAGGATTTGTAACTCAGTTAAGCGATTAAGAATATTTATCCATGTATCTTCTGAAGTATGGATGTGCTATCAAACAAATACATTTTATTATAGAAGTTCTTACATCATTAAAAAGATATTTTGATGGTTTATTTTGCAACATTCAGAAGTAAAAAAGCAAGCAACCAAGCATTTTCTAACTAGCCGATTAAGAAAATATGAAATTCTTAACAACCACAAACAGTGCCTTGGCCTTGGAGGCCTCAATAATATCAACCCCATGGTAACCTCCTTCAGCAAAATGGCACACCACGTGTACACCATTTTCCTCCAACATCTTCGCCACCTCAATCTGACGGTCGATCAATGGGTCCCCATCCCAGCCAGTCACCAAAACTCTCCACCCAACCGCCATTCGATCCAACTTCTTACAACCGTCCCCTACCGTCGGATTGCAATACTCGTGGTCACGACTGGCCCCAATAGGCAACGACAAGTCCCACATCAGATCCGACCAGCTCAGTGGGAACTCGGGGTTGTTCGCTAACCTCAACTCGGAGCCACTCCTCTGGCTCCCACTGAAAAACGGTTGCTGCAATATCAGCCCATGGATCTTCAACGGATGGAGACGGTCAACGTCGGCATGAAGTGCTGCGTGGTAGGCTATGTTACCCCCCGCGCTGATGCCCATGAGGAAAGTATTTGAAAGGTCAGCATGGTCTCTCAACCAATCATCTGGGGTGGTTTTGATCCAGTGCAGCGCTTCCGTTGCATCCTCATAGGCCGCCGGCAGGCGATGCTCTGGAGCGAGCCTGTACTCGACGGATGCGATGATGACGGGAACATCAGTGGCAAAGCTGACGCAGTAATCGTGGAATATGGTTGAGGCTGCACTGCATAAAATGAAGCCTCCACCATGGTAAAAAACGACGAGAGGCAACTTGGAGGAGGAGGAATGATCCAGTGCGTGGCGGGGCAAATAGATTCGAACCCAGGTGTTTTTTGATTCGTTGATGGGGATGTCTTTGGAGAGAACTGGGGTGGGAAGCTTAGGATCGGACGTGGGTGGGCTTTCTGGGAGTTTGGCCAAGCGGGTGATGGTGCCGTCAGGGTTGGGTGCAATCTGGAGGCCCTGGTAGTTATCAACGGTGGAGATGTCTTCTGCTTCACCTTCGCCTGCACCTGACATTGTTTAATTTTGTTAATTATCAGAGAAGATGATTAATATGGACCGGTAATGATTAAATTATAAGACAACTTGTGGCTGAAAATAACTTTAGAAAAGTCGTTATTGTGCAACCGACGTTTCAAAGCTGCCGAATAAGCAACTCTATAATTAAGCAAGAAAAGCTAAAGAACTACAGCTGTCCAACTCTAGCCATCAGTCAACTCAAGTATTAAAGCCATGTGCTTTTTCTATTTCAATCAATAAAATAAAACTACTCTATTACTCTTTCAAAAGTTTTTCTTTTTAAATTAAGCTATTGTCCTAAATATTACCGACTATTCTCTAAACATCTTCTCCCTTAAACTAACAATTTTCTTTGATTAAAACGAATGCATAGAACCAAAAAATCATATATTCTACTCTTAATATTGATCATTACATGACCACAAACCCTTGATTTAGGTGTTTATTGTCTTTTTCTCAAGAATCAAATTCGAATCTCTTGATTCTCTTCTATCCAAATAATAATAATAATAATAATAATAATAATAATAATAATAAATCACAATAAAACAACACATATCACTATATGTCTTTTGTATATCAATAATGAATCTCTAAATAGAATAACAGATACAAACATTTTATTGTCAATTGATGCATCTTATTTTTCATCTCCTAAAGAGCATCTCTAACCGATATGTCAAAAGTGCCACATAGACATTTAACAGCTAGAAATAACATCTCACACACTCCAACCGATGTGTCAAAGCTGATTTGGAATGAAGGCTGAAGATTGAGATGTTATTTTTGACATCCCAAAAGCAAGATGTTAAATGAATATTTTATTATTTTTT